GTCTCTGTCCCAAGTGGCAGTGTCCCCAGAGCGCGGATATGTCCTCTTAATAGTGATAGGGAATGAATTCTTTAACAAGGGGAGGAGCTCCGGGGTGGGTGAGAAGCAAGTGCAAGGGCAAGAGAAAGTTGCGATAAAGTAGACAAGAATGGAATGGGTTGACTGCAATAAAACGATTGCGACCGTGAACGCACTGCACGCGTCGGCTAAAGTTGTTATTGAAGAGCTATTCTAGATCATTTCAACTTTTTGCGCAACGTTTACTTCTCACCCACGCCGGAGCTCCTCCCCTCGTTAAAGAATTCATTCCCTATCACTATTAAGAGGCATATCCGCGCTCTGGGTACTCTGCCGCCTGGGTCAGAGACGCAGAGCAACGAGACGGAAGGGCGCTGGCACCCCCTAACTACATTTTCACCGCGATTTCAAATAATTAAAGGACTCCTTACGCGGCGGGTGCGGCGAGCGCGTTCGGGGGGTAGATACCGGACCCCCAATGGTGAACGCCAGTTTTGTCCAGATCGTCACGAGTTTCGCAGCGCAGTTGCCTCGTGCAGCTAAGCAGCTACTGCAATGTTCCGACCACCCACTGTGCTTCTTCTAGATCCAAAGACATGGTAGACCTCGGTGAAAGGAAAGGTTCTCCTATTGCCTCGTAATGCCACTGAACTATGATGAATAGCGCAAAAACTAGGAAATGCCTGAACTGACGGTCGTGCCTGTAAGACTTATTTGCTATTGGAAGCGTACCCCCCTTCAATTTGAGCACGGTTCGGTTTGAAGCCGGCCTCACGATTACCTATATACCACCTCAAACTGTGTGGTCTGTTCGGCTTGCAGAGATGGGATAGTGCGACGAGGTGGTCCACTTGCCGTGAGAGGAACTACCGCATTAGGAGCCCGTCGGTTAGAGTCGGTTTTCAAGTCATCGTGAAGCTCGTGGCACAAGAGTTGCAATTGTGCTAAAACCCCTCAAGAGAATTTGGATATAGGTCACTGATCCAAAAGTGAATCGGGGGTGTGGTGCGAT